TTGCTCGGTGTGTTTGTCGGCGGCGGGAACGGGGCGACCGGCGAGAAGAGTGCTTCACAGGGACGCCTACGTCTTGAGCCTGGACATTGGTGGCGCGTTTGCAGAAAAGGGAATAGACGAGCGGAACGACAACGGGAGGGCCAACAAGTACAAGTTCGTTTTGGCAGCTACCTATGTGTTCCCGAAGGCCTTTGATGTGGTCTCCAAGGACATGCCGATTCCTGATGACATCGATGAGTACCTGGGCCAGGAGGAGGTGGATGAGGAAGGTCCTGAACCAGAAGCAGCTGAAGAGGAGGTGGAAAGGAAAGAGGACAAGGACCATGAGGAGGAGTGGAAGAGATTGGTGGGGGACCTAAACAAACCACAAGAATTCCAGGTCCTCAGGTTCGCGGTTCCTCTCGCCAAGCACAAGGGTGCGGACATCCTCGCGGCAGTCCAAGACCTTTACATCTACCTCAGGGCCAATGGATTTCCACTGGCCAGGATACACTCTGACAGGGCACGTGAGTTCAGGACTAAGCAACTGCGAAGGTGGTGCCGGGAGCGGGACATCTACCAGACTTACACTGAAGGTTTGGCCCCGACGCAGAATGCCATGGCGGAGAACCAGGTGAAGTGGCTGAAGGCTAGGGCGCGTGTGTTGCTCACGGCTTCCGGCTTGAACAAGAAGTACTGGCCCTGTGCAATGAAGCATGCGTGTGCAGCCCACAACACTCGTCAGCTTGGAAAAACAATGACGCCGATTCAGTTCGGGTCCCAAGTGATGGTGAAGACAAAAAGGGATGTGGGGCCTTTCGACCCAAGATGGGAGGAGGCAGTGTACCTGGGTCCGGCCGATGATGTGCGTGAAGGGCATGTACTTGAACTGGCGGATGGAACCTGGCACAGAACGCTGCACATGAGAGTGGTTCGAGATGATGAAGTACCCTCTGGTGGAGATGAGTCATGGGTGGCCGATCGCGTAGATCCAGGACGGCGAGTTCGTGGAAAGAGGCGATTGGAAGATCCAGATGGCCCGGGAGTACGTGTGCTACAAGAAGGGCAAGAAGATGGAGAAGAAGAGATTGCGGAGCAAAGGGCCCACGACAAACTTGAATATAACAAGTACGAAGACGAGGATGCGTTGGAGATCGTCCGAGCACTTCGGTTGACAAGTGGTCCGAAAAGGAGGGGGACACAGGACTTTGATTGGTGTGGGAGTTGGAGTACGGGGGCCTACGTCCACGGAGGAGTCTGGGGCGTGCAAACCAACACGACCAAGTTCCCCAAGGTCACCCGTTTCCTCACGACCTTCCTCAGGAACAAGATGAAGGAGCCAATGCCTTTCGGAACCATCGTCGTGAACGTGAACCAGGAGCTACTACCTCATCGTGACCTACACAACGAGCGAGAGTTCGCGAATTCGGTGTACGGCATGGGTGACTTTTCTGGAGGAGAAGTGTGGGAGCAGACGTACCTGGAAGAAAACACGGCGCTGGATGTGTACAGGGCAACAACCAGGGGATTGGTGCGTGGAAGAACCATGGATGTGAAGGGAAAGATCCAAGCCTTGTGGGCTCACAGGTGGCACGCGACGATGCCATGGACAGGAACCCGAGTCACCGTGGTGGGCTACGTTCCAAGGAAGTTCAAGAATGTGGGATCTGAGAACTACAACCTCTTGCGGGACATGGGTTTCATGGTGCCTGTTGGGGCAGATGAGGAGGAGGAAGACGATGTTCAGGAGCCGCAGCAGAAAGTATTGCAGGGGAACGACATCGAGAAGGGTGGTGGTTGGAATGAAAGTGTTCATGTACCCGGGGGACATGTGGAGCTGGGAGTGCACTGGACAATGAAGTTTGTGCGTGAAGGGGATGGAGGCGAGGGTGAATTGAGCGCAACACCAACGTTCCCCGTCCAGGACCATGTTCGTGAAAGAGTACAAGAACGACTTCTATGGGCACGAGAACTGCTGGAGGAAGAAAGGGAGATATGGGAAAGACAAGAGAGGCAGACGGGCATTGTGGATGAGCATGTGAAGACCGTCATCGACAACCTGGAAGAGACCGTCGCCTACATGGAGCTCTATCTCATGCAGGACAACCAAGCTCATGTGGATGAAGTTCGCTTGAAAATGCTGCGTGTGAACAAGGTTTCGGTGGAGGAAGCGGTGACCCAGAATGTGGAGCAGCTACTGCAAGGACTTGAAGGGCCCTTGGAAGTGGTGCACAATGTCAGCCTGCAGGAGGTAAGAGAGCACTTGACCGACTGGGTGCCGAGCATGAAGAAGGAGGTCGCGACGCTGGAGACATCCGGGACTTTGAGACCAATACCTTTGTCTCAGGCAAAGCGGCAATCTGAAGCGGGTGAGTTGATCTTGGTGCCGGGCAAAACTGTGTTTACGGTGAAGCCGCCGGAGGATGCGCATCAGAGCAAATACAAACGGAAAACCCGTTTCGTAATATGCGGGAATTTTGTCAAGGATGGTGACACCATGGAGCTCTACACCGCGAATGCAAAGGCCGAGAGTGTGAGATGTTCACTGGCGACTGCGGCGAGTCGAAACTGGGAAGCAGCTGGAACGGACATTAACAGCGCCTTCACCTTGACACCGATGACGGAGAGTGCTACGCAATATGCGGTGACGGCTCCGAAGATTCTGGTGGAAGCTGGTGTGGTGCCCCCGGGAACAGCGTACAAGGTGGATCGAGTCTTGTATGGCTTGCGAGAGGCTCCTCGTCTGTGGGGAATCTTTCGGGACAGGCGGATTCGCAACGCCCGCCTGACGGTGGATGGGCGCGACATGAAGTTCACGCAGCTTGAAACGGACGAGTCGGTGTGGCGTTTGCATCCGTAGTCCTTCAAGAAATCCGCCCAGTTCCTTCCCTCATGCGACCTTGCCACCTTGATCGAAGTCTCCAGCTCCTGCATGGTCCTCAGCGCCTCCTCGGCCTTGGTGCCCTCCAACTCCGCAATGAGCCTCAGAGCATCACACTCTCGGACTTCCGGGCACGACGACCGCGTGTAGACTTGTACTTCAGGTCGGCTAGGGTGTCTCAATCTGCATCCGCGCGCGTTCCAGACGAACTCATACCCCAGCTGTCTAACAAGGGTTCCAAGGGGCACAATTGGTTGAGCTTGGTTGTCCCCCAAGATCGTTCCCTTGTCCGACTGAGGCAACTCAATCTTGGTGTCCCCGGCCAGCGCAACTTCCACCTTCGCGGCCTTCTTCTTCTCCTCCACAGTGCCCGGTCGTAGTGCATGAGTGGCCCCACTATCCAACAGCCCCATTTTGCTAACTGTTGGCAACGTTCCAAGGGCCTGAGCTCTTCGCACCTCCTCACTCTCAGCCGAGGTGATACGCATCACCTTCATCGTGGCGCTGTGCTCCATCAAGGACTTGACCATTCTCTGCGCATTCTCCAACATCTGCTGCATGTCCATAGGCGTGCCAGGTATGGGGTCATCTAGCGTAGATCTCGTTGCCATAGGAGTCGACGCCACTGTACTCGCCTCCGATATCACCGTGGCCACATCATCCGCCTTGATCGTCTTCTGGGTCTCGGGTTGCATCGGCTTCGCCTGCATTTGCGCCGCCGTTGGAGTTGTAGGTGTAGATGCCGTCACAGTCGTGGTAGTACCTTCTGTCGGCCTTGTGGGACACGCCTTCGATTGATGGCCCTTCCCACCACAGTTCCAGCACCGTTCTCTCTTTGCATCCCGGTCCGGCCAACTATGGACAAACCGGCATCCCTTTCCACGTCTACACCCACCATCCGTAACACCAAAAAACTTGCAAGGCTTTTGAGATCCAGCACTCTCCCCCTTGGGTTGGTTGTTGGCTGCCCCACCCGCAAGACCCTTCAGTCTGGCCTGAGGACTGTTAGGCGTGGTCGATGGCGAGTTGTTGCCCGGCACCCCCTTTGGTTTTCTAGAGGCCAGCTGCTCAAACTCCGCCAGGAGAGCCTTATGCACCGCCTTCACGTTGTCCTCCACCGGCACGAAGTCGACCTTCAGTTGGTAGCGGACCAGGTTCATACGAAAGGCCACCTCATGGTGGTCCAACAGTGGCTTCTTCACCAAGACGTCGATACCTCGAAGAAGCACCGACGGGTCTGGTATCACAACCCCCAAATCCTTTGCCCTCTGGAAGTACCTCCACCACAAGCGCAGACCATCCACAGCCTCAGCTGCAGTACTTGTCGCTGGCGGCGACTCCAAGTGGCGCAGCAAAGAACTCTTCTCCATCGCAGATCCCGGGCGATACAGCACCATCAAGCGGCTCAGAATTTCCAGCGAAGATCTCACTCTCGACGCCACAAGTTCCCGCCTGATGTCCTCAGGCGTCGATGCCAACAAGAGCGTGGCCGCCCTCCGATCAACGCGCTGCCACCTCGCCTCCTGCAGCACAGGGGAAGCCAAGGGTGCTAGGTTGAGCCGATTGAAGTGATCTGCCTTCTGGTAGGAGTCATAGTACGCCTTGGCACAATCCTTTACCTCCTGCCACCATTCCGCCGACGAAGTTGAGAGGTCTCCCATAGCGTGCTCCAGGCAGTGGAGCCAGTCCCCAAAGTCCACGCTAGCACTATCACTCAAGGCGGGAAGCATCGGAATGTCCCCCACCGGCTTGTGCACGTCTTCGGTCCTTTGGGACTTCGTAATCACCCGCTCCAAACCCTCCAACAGCCTGCTCATGGGATCACCTCCAGGACCAAGTGACGGCTGTTGCCTTTCTCCTCCCGAACCCGGCGGCGCTTCTGCAGATGCCCCAGCGGGCGGTTGTCTTGCTTGCACAGCACCTCCTGATTGACTAAGGTGCCCTCCCAGAACTTGTGGCGGACCTCGTGGATAGACCAACGGCTGCTCTTGACCTCCTGCTGCGTCACTCTGACCAGATGGCATAAAGCCAAAACGACCTCCTGCTGCGTCACTCTGACCATTCAAAAAACGACCAGGTAGCGGACCAGGATTGCCTCGGGATTCGGTGGAAGCTCCTTGCTGAACTGGACGTAAACCATCTAAACTTCCCCCAGGTAGCGGACCAGGATTGCCTCGAGATTCGGTGGAAGCTCCTTGCTGAACTGGAGGTAGCGGACCAGGATTGCCTTGAGATTCGGGGAAAGCTCCTTGCTGAACTGGAGGTAGCGGACCAGGATTGCCTTGAGATTCGGGGAAAGCTCCTTGTTGAACTGGATGTAGCGCACCAGGATTGCCTCGTGGCCCAAGTTGGCCCGACGGACCCGGCAAGGCCCCCACCAGACCATTCCACAGGTGTTGGCCCCATCCCTGCCCAGGACGAGACCTTGCTGCATGTGGCCACTGCCCTTCTCCCATGCGTTCTCGCTCCAATTGCATCCTTCCCATCTCTTCTCTCAAGCTACTTGCTTCCCTTTTCGACTCCTCCAACTCCCTCATCATCCCTTGCAGTTGTCCTTGTAGCTGCTGACGCACTTCTTCCTTCACCGCTTCATAGGTGCTTCCTCCAGAACTGCCACCACCATCCATAGGCCTCGGTCCCACCCCGGTGGCACCATACAGCAGTGGAGCCCGCTGCTCCATTGCCCTCATCTGTTGCCTCTGCTCATCATCAAACAAAGGCGTCCTCGATGCCTCATCCCGTTCCCCATGCGACATAGGTGACTCCAACGCCCTCTGCGATCTCGACGGTCTCGTCACAGGCGACGGAAAGGGACTCGGCATCCACTCCGGGGGTGTCACCTGCTGTGACTGCCCCATAGCCTGGAAGAAAGCTCCCAGGCGAGAAACCCAGGTCGGCATCGCACCACGCGGTTGTGCCTCTCTTCCCATCGGACTGCCTTGCGCATTCCAGCTGAAACCTCCAGGTTGTTGATGCCCTCCACTATTCAGGCCATCACGCAGCATGCCCATGTCCCCAGCTTCACCGGCCGGCTCCACCTCCCTCGTCATTGAGGTTGAGGCCACCACAGCTTGCATGCCACCTGCAACCACCGCTCCAGAGGCTAGCGCCAAGGCCTGAACTCTTGCCACTTGACCACTTGTACCATGCCCAGAGTCCATGCTATCTCCAGAAACCATTGCTCCATCCACACTTCCAGCCACACCAGTGCCGCCAGCTTCCAGTGCACCATCCGGCCTTACGGCCTCCGGTTGGGCTCCATGAGCCTCTCCACCATCCAAAGCTGGTCTTACGACCCCCGGTTGGCCCCTCTCGGGCCCCGCAGCTGTTGTTGTCATTCTCGGCGAAGTAGGGCGAGCACCACTTGGGCTCATAACCTCCTGGACGGAGGTCCCAGGAGGCATGGAGTCTGAGGGGTTGGCCATGGCTTGTAGAGCTCACTCGAATTTCCCTTTTCCACAACAGCAACGACACGAAATCCTTGGTCTTACTCGTTCAGGTGCTATACCTGCGATGCCTGGTACATGTAAAAACTGCGTCTGCGTGCCCACACCGGGCCATGTGTTTCCTTGCCCTTCACGGGCCTCGTTGTTGCCCTTCACCGGGCTTGGACCGCTTGACAGCGACATGCACCCTCTTCTTCCCGGAAAAACGTGAGCACACCAGCACAAAACAGTTAGGGGACTCGAGGCTGGTTCACACAGCTACCGCTCTGCTACCTGTGCACCCCACCGGGGTTGAGCCGAGACCTTGAGCCAGTCACATATATCACTCGAAAGCGGGCTGAGTCGCTAGCCAGGTTAGGCTCTTCGGAACCGGAGTTCCGGTAGGTATTAACTATGCACGGAAAGGGACTCTCGAGGTGTCCTTGGCCTGCTTGACACGGCCGTACTATGTGCAGGGAGCACCGAGAGAAGAAAAAGGGCCTAACCAGTTCCGCGAGAAGCTCGGCGGCCTACGGCTACTCACTGGTTTGGCACTGTACAAAGCCCTAGGCAAAATGTTCTGCAGGTTGAACTGCCTGGTCTGTACTGCCTACCCTATCAGCCCTGCCAGTACAGGGGAGAAACTCACCCACTTCCGGCTCACTCAGAAAAGGCAGAAGGTCTGGAACCGATACATGGGCAATGCCTGTACTAAACTGAACGCAAGTGGCTTGGCAAAGCCGCCAACCTCCGGCACAGGCCTAGGCTTTCTCGCCCTTACTAACCTAGGCCCCAGGAACTCATGCCGCAGCAGCACTGAGCTCCTGTTAGCCCCGTTTGCTGACCTGGCTTTCTCGCACTTACTCACCAGGGAGGGGAACCAGCTTTCTCACTCTTACTAACTGGCTCAACCTCAGCGGCTCCAAGGAGCCCATACCACTTGCACGCAGGGAGGGCTTGGTTGATTTGGGCAGCTCAGTTGGGCAGGCTTTCAGGCACCGAGCCACAGCCTTTAACCTCCACAATCTGGTGCCTCTGGCTGTCCGTCAGCCAAGCATTGGTCCCTAACAACAACGCCTGCCGCTAGGCTTCCTCCAAGATGGGCTTGCACCACCCGGAGAGAAACAACAGCACCCTGCAGGAATCTCAAAGGAGATCCTCGACAGGCCAAACACGGGTAACCCCAAACTGGTGCAGGGAAATGCCCTAAACCTCATACGGTCGGCGTACTTAGGATCCTCGTCCGTTCCTGCCACACCTCAGCGCCCTCCCTCCCCTCATCAACCAGTGAGGATCTTCAGGGTGCGGTTCTAACGTTATCCTTTCGTGCGCTGTGTTTGCGAGAACCCCGTGTTGGGCCTGTGGAAGACCCACAAGCACCTGAGCCCGAAAACCCGGTCCAGCGGTCTGCTGCACAGACCGAGCAAAGGGGCCGAACCGGTGTCAGGCTGAACAAAAGCCGCATCGAGGCGGCCTGTCCTGCAGGGTGTCCATCGGAACAACTGCGAAAATATTCCGACGGATGGATCTGGGTACGTGCCGGGACTGAGCACTTCTGCTTGCATTCTTACAACCTGCATCCTTATGCGATCATTAAATGATCCAATTCTATGCAAGATTCTCCGTGGTGCCCTATGGCACTCTCAGTTTGGGAACGGACTCACAGGACCGTCGCTGATTGGACGGGGAGAAGCTTCACCCGTGACAAAGGGATTCCGGAGGGTGAGCAACTCACCCTTGATTCTGGCAGGGCATAGCTCCTGCAATTTGGGTGGGTTGGGGCCGGATTAGGTCAGACCTCCCAGGGGACGTCTTCCAAGTCTTCAAAGCCACACACCAGCCAATCACTGTTGCCTGCTTCTTCTGGGGAGTCTAGATCCTGAGAACACCCTTCCTCAAGGAAGGTCCAGCCATGTGCGCTGGCTGCAGAAGACAGCGGCGCCAGCAAGGTTCTACGGGCTCCGTACCTTGGTGACCTAACTGACGCAAGTTAGCAAGGGAAGCGTAGTCCAGAAACACCGGTCTCCTAACTGCTTGGTCGAAACTCGGCCAGCTCCACGTGCACGCTAGGAAGCTTTCTAGACAAAGGGCACAGTAGAGCTCGATGCGTCTTCCATCCTCTCCATGCAAGATCGCTGGTTGCCTTTTCCCAGGACCGGGCAAGAAGTTGAGGTTATGGGTTGGAATGTTACCACAGCCAGTGCAATTAAAGTTCAAAAGGCGAAGCCACTGCACGGGCGGGTCGCCTCCCGTTCCCCCGTGGAGCTCTGCTGGGTCTTCCATGCATCTCCATTGCCCACAGGGTCCGGCTCGGACTGTTTTGCTGGATTTGCTGGTGCGAACAAAATACACGCTGCTGTCCTCGGAGAGGAGCAGCCACTCTTTCCGGCCCTTGTGATGCCAGCGAAAGCAGAGTGCTTGGTGGAAAGTCCTGCATTGGCTGGGACCACAATTGGCTCTATGGGCCCAAGTTCGCTCTGGATTTGCCAGGCTGCTAGAGCATCTTACCTGGTCTTCCAAGGCTGGAGAACCTCCACAGCCGGCTGTAAGAGGACTCGCATAAGGGAAGAGTTCCCCAAGCCGGGCTGCTTCGCCCTCCAGTCGGGCCGTGCCTTCTTTCTGGCTCTCTGCAAAGCAAGTTGGGTGAGATGACTCCAACCCATCACTTGCTGGCAGTGAGGATCTCGACTGCACAGGTGCCCTGGACATGGCTCAAATGAAGGCTGTGAAAAAGCAGGCCTGGTACCCAAAACAGTTAGGGGACTCGAGGCTGGTTCACACAGCTACCGCTCTGCTACCTGTGCACCCCACCGGGGTTGAGCCGAGATCTTGAGCCAGTCACATATATCAACTCCCCCTTATGACCAAGAGTTTCACTGTTGGTCACGTCAACTAAGCTCCACGCAAAGCCAACTAAGCTCCTCGCCGGGGCGCGCATGCCGGCGCATTCCTCAGTCCTAGACCGCTGCACTGCTTCAGACCGCTGGAGGTCGACTAACTCTCGCAAAGTAACCTGGCTGGGCGGGTGGGCGGGTCAGCCAGGGCGGGCGGGTGGGCTCAAATTACCGCAGTCGCAAGCTTTCCAGGGCGACGTCCGCGAAAGCTGGCGGATAGTGCTGCGTTTCTTTGAGATCAAAGTCTCGTGAATGATCTCCCTTGCAGGTACATGCAAACGTTTCGGACATTGTTCGCACAAACTGTTCGTCGTTCGACATCAGTTTCCAGATCTTCCGGATAGGCAATCCATCTCTGCCTACCAAGCCTGAAACACAGCCGTGCACTTCGCCGGTGTAATGGGTTCGTTGCCTTGCAAACGAACGGGCACTTGCCCATCCCCAGTAGGCACACCTCTGCGGCCATTCTATGACCCATACCCCTACTTGCGGGTGGTTCACCATCACTAAGAAGCTCCGCCAGAGCTTGCGATGCACCGTGAATAAAGCTTGTAGATGGTCCTGATAGCCCGGCCGATCTTCGTGTCGCCGTTGGTACGGGCTACCTCCGGTACAAGGAGTGCTGCGCAAGAAAACAACCTTCATCCCCCATTCTCTCGCAACATTCATTGCAGACATGACCCGCTCCACGGTGTCATTTGAGGTTCCGTCAACCCCTTGAGTAATCGGCAGGACAAATACTTGGTGCACACTTCCTTGCAGTACCGTGAACTCGTGCAAAACTCGATCAGCAAAGTCGAATATTCAGTCTCGAGTTCGCATAGCCGACAGAAAGCTTCGTATTCGAGGTTGTCTGGCCCGAGTACAGAATCTAGCACTCCAGACAGCAACAAGCAAGACCTGACTGCTGGGACCTCTCGGAAATCGATGTTGGTGACATTTTCTAGTCCGAGGGTTGCTGTATGCTTTGCTGTTTGGAGGCGATTTAAATTCTTTGTGAGAAGATCGCTCACATTCTCGGTTCCGGCCACTCCCTCTACTGCTAACTCGCCGCTATGGACACGGTCTTGGATAAAGCTTTTTTGCTTTGCGGCGCAATGCCATGTCTGGCACCTAGCGAGTCCTCAGCAGACACAATTGGTCCGGCTGCACAGTGGCAGCGAGCTAAGCTCCTAACTACAAACACTTGTGGCCCCGGCACGAATGCCCAAGCAGGCCAAACTGCAGAAACAGGTGAGAAAAGGCAGAGATGAAAGTCCGACACCCATGGCACTGCACGTCCGCCCGTCGGCGCGCGACAGTAGCAAGTAGCCCTGCAAGAAGGCCAAAGGAGCGAGCGTCCTCTTCCTTCAGCCGCAGGTGCAACAAGCAGGGCCGTAACTCATCAGCTGCCTATGAACTACGTACTAATGATCTCTGGAGTACAGCAGGATGTACACATTGAGTGAGAGCTGCTCAGCATCCCTCTGCAGAAGAGACTTTGCGACTTTGTTGTCATCAGTGATGTATCGTCTGTCATCGGTGTAAAGCACGGAACGGTAATGCCCAGAGGTTGGAGTGGGACCAAGATGCATGATGCAGGCATGCAATCTATACAGGGTCATCGTGGTGGCAAGGTCCACAGTGAACACCGGAACGTTTAACGTGCTGATGATATCAACAGGGCACGTGCTTTTACTTATTGTCTCTTCAGCAGTGACAAAACGATTGATCTGGACAATCAGATGAGCGGGAGCCGTCAGCAATCCTGCAAATCCAGCCTGAGCATGCCATGTATCCAACAGGTTCTGAGGCGTGCAGTGAGCAAACAGAGGCGTGGGCAAAAGTAGAGGCATCGTGCTGCCAGCTTCCTCAACGCACATGTTGCCATCTGTGAGAGTTCTGCGTTGCCAATGTCCTTCGAACATGTCAGCAAAGCCTCTGTCCTGAAAGAAAGTGAAGAGTTCGGCAGCATCGTGCTGCCTGTTCGGTTGTGCCCAATCCTTCATGAGCTGTCGCCATGCAAGAAGCTGCCAGACATGCAAGCCCTTGCGAACCTTGATAGCCGCCTGGAACGCCTTCATCAGTCCTGATGGCATGGTGGGATGGCAAGTGCGGCATGCAAGC